CACATTAAAAAAATATAGATTCCTTGACAATCACAAGTCTGCATCACATTCACTGATGAAATATGAAATATGCTAAAACATACCCATAAACTCACGTTATCATGTGTACTTAATTCACACACAAAGTCGTAACGGTCCACTCGTGTATGTCCATCTCCAGACCTTTGCTGTGTGTGAGAGTTTGTGTGACTGGGGGGAGATGCTGTGCGCCGCCTGTCCCAACCAGACAACCATCGTCACTGCAGGAACCAGCACTGTGGTGTGTGTGTGGGATGTAGCTGTCAACAAGGACAAACTCACTCGCATGAAACTCAGACAGGTTAGTTTGCAGTGGAAGTGTTGAACGGTAACATGCACATACACACTCGGAATAACACTGACTCTTTTTTTTCAGCCGTTATACGGACACACGGACTCTGTGACATGCCTGGCTGTGTCCGAGGTCCACAGCTTGATAGTAAGTGGCTCTCGTGACCTCACCTGTATCCTGTGGGATACAGAGGAGCTAAGCTACATCACCCAGTTAGCAGGACACACGACCAGCATCTCTGCACTGGCTATCAATGAACTCACTGTAAGTCCACCTTCTTGATCTCCTTTTTTTGTATTTCTCTAGCTCTCCTCTGGAACTCTATTGTTCTTCTGTTCTTTGTCATTTTTGGATCAGTGTTGTCATGTTGTTCCTCTTCATTCAGCTTCCTCAGCATGAGGAAGAGAGGATTCTCATTGTCGACACCATGCATTCCCTCTTTGTGTGCATCTCTGTCTTTGTGCAAATGGGAGTCAACACTATATTATTCTGTCCAAGGGTGAGATTGCGTCATGTGCAGGACCTCTGCTCCACCTATGGACCATGAAGGGTCAGCTGTTGACCTGCACGGACACGTCCTGCGGGCCTCAGGCAGACATCCTGTGTGTCAGCTTCACACAGCAACACCAGTGGGATGCGAAGAACGTCATCGTCACTGGCTGTGCAGACGGCATCATACGGGTGAGGTTTTTCTGTATGCTTGTATTAATGTAATAGACATTGTCTCTCATACACACAGCCTTTTGTATGACTAATAGATCAGCGGGAGATTCTGCTTTCTTTTTATATTGTTTTCAAATGTGGTTTGAATGCGGCATTACTTTGGTGGGAGCCTCGCAGGTAACGGCTTGGATGTCCATCAAGGTATTAATAACCGCATATGTTTCGTGTGGGGTGGGGGGGACTGCTTTTGTGTTGGATTAATATAAGCACATACTACCTCTCTGCAATCACAGCTGCAAACTCTAAATTGGGCTTCACTTGGGAGTGGGTGCCCATACCACATGCACAACACAAACACACGGTATTATTACTTTATTATTACCTTGAGTTATGGGATGTGTGTGTGTGCGCGCGCGTTGGTGGTTATGTGAGTGTGATTGTTATGTTGAATTATGTCTGATTTTGCTACTCGTTATGTGTCCCTCATACAGATATGGAAGACAGAGTACACCAGAACACAATTACCTGGCCCTCCAGAAGAGCCTGTGTCCCCGGGGCAAGACCGAACAGAGAGAGACGGTAATGTTACTGGCAGTAGGATGGGATATACATATAGGTATTTTATCTATAACAACACAGATTATGGAAGTGTCTGACAGTAGCAAAACAGTGCGACTCACTATTGCGACTGCACAAAAGGAAATTATTCTTGTGTTTTGTGTTTCAAAAGAAGCCCATCGCTATCTAATTAGATAAATCCTTAAGTGTGAGATGATTATTTTTAACCGCTCATCTCAGAGCTAGAAAGTGTTGTTCCAGATGAGAGCTTGTAATGCTTACCCCATCCCTCACTAGCATTAGGGCTAGCAGGAATTATTTTGTTATAAAGTTATTAAACATAGAGGCAGTAGACACTGATGAGTAATTCTGCTGACGTGTGTGTGCGTGTATAATTTAGAAAGCAATAATACCCAGATCCAATTTGGCATACGTTGGTTACAGCCTCGCGTCACCTCATAGGAGTATTATGCCTGGCAAATTACATTGAGGCAAGTCTTTACGTAACACTGAAGCATTTATATTCGAGGGATTTTTCTCCCTTTAGCGGCCCGCTGACCGCAGATAAACACTCTTTCTTTTGAGGGGACCGCTGGGTCAGGGATACAGACTGGGTGGAACACCTGCCCTGTGATCTAGTAATGAATGAGGGTTGATGATGTATCCACAGTGAGCAGCTCATGCCAGGTTAAAGGCTGGGAGAGACATCTGGTATTATGTCAAGAGATGAGCAGAAGTCAAGCTGTGCCGCAGCGCCGCAGCAAGAATAGTCCGGCCATCACAGCGCTGGCCATATCCAGGTACAGTAAATATCATGCACCTGCTCACAGCAAAGAGAGGAGGGATTTAGTTTACATTTGCAAACTTTGAAAATATTTTGATTTAAATACACTTTTGAAACTGACTGATTGGAAAACAATTTACATATCCTCTCTGATTTCAATGATTTTCATCATTTAAACTCTCTCTTCTGTGCAGGAGCCATGCTACTTTGTTGGCAGGGGATGCCTGGGGCCGAGTTTTCACCTGGACCTGTGAGTGAGAGGTGGCAGGGATTGAACACAATCATGCCTCCAGCTTCCATTTTACACACAGACTCTGACACAGAAAATCCATCAGTGTCTAAGGCCTGTTCTGTGTGTGCATTCAGCAAGAACTATTACAATATATGGTACGTTCAAGTCTCAGACAATATAGAATATTTTATCTCCTACACTGATATTTCATTCTGTATTTATCTTTGTTAATACTGAATTTCATCAAATGAATAAAACTACTGACAACCAATTGCATAAATCTTCTCCTGTGAGTGTCTGTGATTTTGATTATAACTGAATTCTTGGTTGGCCAGGATGTTTTTATTTTTCAATTTAATTTTCATCTAAGATTCATAAAGGTGAATCCAGAAGGACACTGGCTTAACTTCTCCAGAGCTGCTGGGTGAATTTGCAAAAGAATGTGATGTAAAAAAAAAAAAGCATTTAATAACTTTAAAACAATCATTTAAATGAACCTTTTGCTGCTCCAGCAAAGCTTACGAGGGTGCACAGCAGAGGCTTGTGGTGGAAGTGGGCAAGCTTCAAGCTGAATGACGAACAAGAGCGTGCATGCTCAGCCAATGTTCCTGAGAAATGGAGCGTTTTGATAGCATTGTAGAGCTCCAGCAGTTCACTTCCCACGAAATGCACAACGAGCATCCATGATCATAAAAGGTTTGACATGCACATGTCAGCATTTTGTGCTATGGGGGTTTGTAGCGCTTTGCTTTGGTACATGTTTGTGGTATCAACAATTCTGGATGTGTTTTCAATCTGCTTTCTAATGTGGTATTTATGAGTACTTGAGCATTTGACTGCTTTTCCATGATCATGGCAGATGTGTGTGTGTTGTGGATGATGTCAAATATGTTTGGGCCTTGTTGAGGTATGCTCTCTGTTTGTCACAGCTTTGTGTGCGTGTGTGTGGTTGTGGGGGTGGTTGTGTTTATGGCTAGCCAAGGCCTTTTTAGCCACATCAGACAGACAAACATTGATCCTAATCTTTCAGTGGAAAAGTACAATTCTGACATTCCTTAATCAATGCACTTATATTCTAATAAATAAGTCAGCGTTTCACATGATGGTAGATTGTGGAGGCTTTCTGTGTCTGCCTTTCTTGCTCGCTCTCTCATGCACATGCACCACCGCTCTCTATCATAAAGGAAGAGGTCTTTCTCTTTAACCTTTGTGTGTGTGGCTAATTGTGCTAAGTGGAGTAGCTTAATAGAGTGGAAAATAGTCCTCATCATTTTCCCAGAGAGCAAGCAATGACCTTCTCTAAAGCTAACGGCCATCTCCATTCTCTCTACATCACTGGTTTTATGATCTGAAATGTCAAACCATTGGGTTCCTCAGAATAATTAAATCAAATAAATTATTGCACCTAGGCAGAACCATCTTGTAGCCTAACCCAATTATAATGCACTGTAAAGCTAATTATTAACCATGATTACAATTAGTCTAATTTGAATAAATGTAGTCATTAGCGGGTTCATCCAAGTCAGTGAGTCTGAACTGTGGGGGATGATGGTCTCTCTCTCTCGATCTCTCCCACTCACAGAGAGAGGTGCATGGAGAAAGAGAATGATGCACATCAACACCCTTTTATCTTCATCCCATTTTTCACCACACACTGACCTTCACAGAATGGCCTACACCCTTCACCTTTCTTGGGTACTTGAGGCATATTGCGAGCTGCTTCCAGGATTTATATTTGCTGTTCATCCCTTTGCCGTGTCGCACAAAATCCACGATAAGCACCACTGAGTGCACTGCAGCTGTTTGTAATATTTCATTGGTTTGTCTTTTGTTGTGTGAAAGAGATTTTGCTTGTTGTGACCCCAGATAAATTATAGACCAATCTAGCGAAGACCAATCCACTTTAAAAACGGATGATTTAAAACAGTATTTATATGACTCAAAGACTGTCAGGCCCAGGGCATATATTTATTAATTTGGAGTATTAGTACTATAATTATAAATGCATTTGAAAAGTGCCTTATGATACTGCAGTAAGAGAGCCTGAACAACAGCTTGTATCCAAATAGTCTCCTGAGTTTATACAGAATAGTTAACAGTAAGAGCGTTCTATAAACATCTGGCTCACAGGCCAGCAATGCCAACAAACAAAACAACAGAATTATAAGACCCCACAACTGCTGTGCTGGAATGGATCTGTGCCGAGTTAATACAAAACCCTCATTTACCAACAGTTGTAGCGTACAGTCCTCCCACAGTCCAAAGACATGCAGCTTAGGTTATTTGGAGACTCGAAATTGCCCGTAGGTGTGAATGTGAGCGTGAATGTTTGTCTGTCTCTACATGTGCCCTGCGATGAACTGGCGACCTGTCCAGGGTGTACCCTGCCTTCGCCCAATGTCAGCTGGGATCGGCTCCAGCGCCCCGCGACCCTGAACAGGATAAGCGGTTTGGATAATGAATGAATGAAAGAATGAATGAATGAATGTAGCGTACAGCCAAAAAAACATTATGCTAAATGCCATACTGATAGTTCATAAATATTGTCCTTTGGTTGCCACTCAGTTCAGTTGCCCTCACCGGGAGGTACCATGACATCCATGTGTCCAGAGCTGCTGTGCTTACAGCTGTTTTTCCTGGAAGATGATCTGAGCGTACACAGTGTCTGGGTTGGAGGCAGTGGGGTCAGGACTGGAGGAGGCTGGGGGCTCTGGCCTTTGTCTGACCAGCTCCAGTTCTGCATATGTCAGACTGTCTTCCTGTGATACTCGAGGCTGGAGGAGGGAGGGAAAGAGTGCAAGAATATTGAAGGAATTTATCCCAGAGACAAGGCAAAGATAATCTTATGTCAAAATAGTGAGCATTTTGGAAAAAAAGACGTGTATAGGGAGTGTATGCATCCTGTCTGCATTTAATATTGTTGAGCAAACATTCTTCCACTTTCCATGGGAAGCATCCCCTTAGTTCTTTTCAGCTGCAGACGGTGTTTACAGGACATCTTGGAACATCCAGTTTACTCGGAAAAACATTTGGTACAATAGGAGTCCTGTCCAACATACTCAGGTCCTCCTAGTTGCACTAATCCAATCAATATGTCCGTGCAAAAGAAATGCTCACAACTCCGGCGCTTTGTTTCGCTACACAATCACGAGAACGGCATCAGTAGAAAAATACTGATGATCCTTAGTTTGAGTAGTTTTGAGTTGACATTTTTATTGTAGATATAAAACCAACGAAGCACTCTAAATAAATAATTGTGTTTGAGAAGCAATAAAGCTAAATAGAATTATCAAGCTCATAACTGAATGAAGAGACAGCAATAAACTCCTGTAGACAATCGTGCAGTCGTGAGACATATTCCCTCTTGCATGTGCCTCAATAACAACTTTGCGCATGAGAAAACATTTTCAAAATGTTAATAAATACATCTGAACTGTTCTGTTAAGTTAATATGTTTCATAAAGGATTGTATGGGTGAAGTGGACATTGGTGTTTGTATGATGGGTGAGAACAAGAAGACTTACAGTGGAGGAACTCCTGAGCTGAGTCTTTAACCTTCGGGGCTTCTGAGGTCTCTTTGCAGCAACAGGCACTGAAATAAAGAGACGACCCCAATTTACTCAAAAATAAACAACAAAGAAAATCCTTCACAACCACTTTTATATTAAATCTAGTTTATAACAGAAATAGCATTTTCAGCATCAGTGTTAATTTTACATCAGATTAACTAAGCAGTTTTTGTCAGGGAAATTGAATTGTGCTAGATATATTATTCTCTGTGTTTGTACTTGCTGGTCATTTATTCTATTTTTCTTTATCCAACAATTGTTTTTTTGGGATAGGAGCCCCCCCCTGTGACTCTCGTGTCTCCAGTGTGTTTAGATATGAGAGGAAACTCAAACTTTCAACACGTTTCCTTTCTATGGAGTGACACACTATTAATTGTGCACCCATGTGTGAAAATATATTTGTGTTTCAAATGAATATAAGGTTCAATATGTAATATTGCAGCAACTTCCATTAGATCAGCGAGAATATCCTCTACACGAGACTGTACAATACCATTTTGCTGCACTACTTTTGGTCAATCAGCCTTCTCTGTAAAAGCAACACACCAGTGAAACACCCTGCCTGAAGGTGTGAGGAGCTGCAGCTCTATTAGCACTTTTAAATCCAACTTAAAAAGTCTTTTAAAAACTGCACACACTGAACTCAATTCTTGTGGTCTTTTCTGACTTGATTTTATTGACAAACACTCATTTTTGATGTGCTATTTGTGTGTAGCGTTGTATTGGATGTCTTGTATGTTTTTTGTGGTATATCTCTGTATTATGTCTTTTCCTTTTACTGTGTTATTGTCTTGTCCTTGTTGATCTGCCAAGGGACTGCAGATACAAATTAGCTTAAGCTACAATCTGGTACAGTGCATCGAATGGAGACATTTATGTTTAAACTGTACATGGTCCCTTTTCAATAAATTAAATTAATAAATATAATTAGGACTTTGATCACTGCATTAGGATACATGTTTGTTTTTTTTCTCCGATTTTTGTGAAATACTGAACACTCTTACCTCTCCAGGCCGACAAAACAACCATTAAATTAGGCATTCTGAAAATGCTCTTTAAACTGCTCATAACTCATGTCCACACTGGGGCCATATTTAACCTGTGACGTGGGGTCACAAGTTTGCTTTATTTTAAAAGGTCACAAGGCAATACAATTGGGGAACCACTGAAGAATTACATTTCTCCCAGAGAATACATTGTGCACTTCAAATGTCACTTTACCTTTGGCTGGTATGTGTGGTGGTGGCACCTCGGGGAGTTTAGGTGCTGCTGCTGCTCTTCTGTCAGGTTTCTGTCTTGTGTGTTGCCTTTGGGCTCTTGGGGAGGAACCAGAGGAACTGCTGGAGCTGGTCACAGTCTCTCCTGAGCTGCATGGAGCAGATGAGTTTTTAAAGTTTTAATTACATCAATGATTATTTAGATTGATCTGTCAATTATTTTTGCAATAGATCAATTGATAATCTGGCTTGTTTTTTTACAGCACTAGTTATAATAGCATACTGCACCTGCTTTCTGGACACTTCACTAGAAGGTAACTATCTGTGGAGAAAGTAGCAGAAAAGGTCATGTTGATTTAACAGCAAAGTTGTTTTGAATAGAAAAAACGGAAATATAAAGTTATAAATGTAAAGTTACTAACAGAAAACAAATGATGGTTTCACCTTTGAGCCTGTGTCTCCTGTGAAGGTATTGGCAGGTGAGAACCAGAGTGAACAGGAAGATGGACAGCAGGCCCAGTGAGCAAATCAGCACAGCACACAAATACACATCTATAAAACAAAAACATGTAACTCCTTAAAAAAAGCATCGTAACAGCAGCGTTATTTATCAAAGTAAGACTTGTATGTGGTGAAGTAAAGCAGAAGAAAGACTGGAGATGAAACAGTACCTGCATATAAACGCCACAGTCCTTCACTGCCACCATCCTCGAAAGTGAAGTGCACTGGAGAAAAATGTCCAAAAGAACGTAAGTAAAAATAATATGTTAAGGGTAGAAAACTGTACCCAGACTAAGTATCTTTTTTTAAATTGCTGTTGTCTGAGGGCACTGTCTCAACACAGCAGACAGCCTCAGTGGTTTCCATAAATATCAAAACTGCAAATGAAGGGAGATTCTGCTGCAGCATCAGCCAAACCCACCACACACACACACACACACACACACACACACACACACACACACACACACACACACACACACACACACACACACAGAGAGGCCTGGTTGTATTGCTGTTCTTGGACAGTGTTTGGGGGTTCCCCATTGCTCTGCATTTCCACTGCTTTTGTTGGTTGCTTCACAATCGTTTAATGTTGCAATTGTCTTGTGCGTGCTTACAAGTGTGAAACAGGAAAGAATAGGAAGTTGTTGGCAGTGTGTGTGTCAATGAATGATGGGTTGTATATAGGTCAGGGGTATTTAGCAAGAGGTTGAGGAGAGAGTGAGCAGAGGCTATGTACATAAATTACTTAGTGTCCCCGTAATGGGTTTTTAATATGTCTTTTAAACACAGGTTGATAAACATATTAATAAGAAATGATAAGATATTAACTCTAATTGACTTCTAGCCTGTTTCCAGACCGCTGAACTGCCTGCAGAATTGTCAAATGTGGTCTTGGCAGTCTGAATATCACGTTAATTAATGTCACACAATGGCTTTTGTGTGAGCAAAAATGGAAAGCTGGATCAGATGTTTGATCAGTTTTACAGGCAGAAAAAAGCAGAAGATGTATAGAAGCAACACAAGTCGTGTGTTTTTGAAGATACTGCTGTGTTCGATTAGATCTTTATTCACCTAATTATTTCTAAAATATGTATCCAGTCCAAGTTTGATCATAGACATAACAAGGAAACGGGCTTTGTCACAATGCATACAAAGGCCCTGCAATATGCTGTTTTTCAAATCCTTAAATGTAATTATTTTTTTTTGTCTTGTTAATTTAATGTCATAATTATGGAGGGCCAATCTATGATGTTTTTTGGACTGCATTAGGCTGTATGGTGTTCCTGTTATATTGTCCACTGTTAACCACAAAATGAGAAGTAATGACAGATCTGTAAACTGTGGTCTAACTTATCTAATGAAGTGAAGGGCTACATTTAACAGGCATCTCTTGGCAATGTGAGCAGTTAACGGTTAATGTATAAGTCAACCACATATCTGACCTTTTACACTGTGGTTAACCACTTACCCCAAGTTCACAGGTTGGCTGTTGGGGAGCTATTAAAGTACACACGCTCTACAGATGAGTCTACACAAGCTCAAGTTTATACTGCATAGGTTTTCATTTAAAGCCGAAAACCATCAGGTACAGATTTAGGCTCATCTGCTTTCCCCCCCATCAGTGCAGCTGTGAAGACACGACGCAGAAAGATTAACCAACCGCTGAAATCGGCATGGTTAGAAACTTGAAGTCAGAGAGCAGAGTTAAATAAGTTTTATTCCAACCGTACAGAGAGTCTGCTCATTTTTCCAGTTTAAAAAAGCAGAAATCACTCAACCATTAGTTCTGAAGTTGTGGTTGAGATGTTGTGCATGTGGGAGAGGACAAACGTATCTAATGCAATTATATCAGTGGGGTGTGGTCTTTGCTCTGAGATCTGCAGAATGAAATTTAGAGACGGGGGTTCCCTGGATAACATTACAAGTTAGTTTTCTCTCTATCCTTACAATATCAGCTCTCATGTCTCTGGTTCTGTGGTCAATGCATGTCGGAGATGCCTGAGGTTGTGTGGCTTCCTTAGCGGGACACTGTCCTGAATATAGGGCAGGGCGTTGTCAGATGGTTCTCTCCGACTCAAACCACTACGCTTTTCTGGCGTAAAACAAGTCAAAGGTAAAGTGTGCAACGGTGTCAGGCGAAGGCACACTTATAGCACGGTATAGCAGCGTCTTTGCTGTCTATTGAACCCCTTTATCCAGTGCATCACACTGTGACAGATGGCCTTCCCATCAATCCAGTTAAATCAGAGGAAGGATCGTGCAGTGTAAAGAAATATATATTACTGCTTGTGATTTGAATTAGTTCGTATTAACCTGATTTATTCAACTTGTTTATTACATATTGGCACAGACTAAATACGTTCCACTGCAACCGAATTCTCCGGTAAATTTTCTCCTGAGGCTCGCATGAAAATAAACCCGGAATGCTGACGTCATGTAATGCAGAGTTTTTGAACAAAGCCAGCTCAGCAACACTCTACCTTCTACTCCTCACACTCGTACACAGAGAGTGATATTGTTGAGGGTGTTTTGGCTGCGTGAGCTCATTGTTTTGAGATGGAAATGCCAGAGGATTGGGGTCACACTCAGACACATGTACAGCATAAAGCGCAGCTAGAGTCAGAAAATACATGCAACACATTTCTATTTGGTCCTGTCCTTTTAAAAAAAAAAACTGTTGCTTTTCCTTTATGCGGTTATTTCCATTGCCAGATAGCATGGACAGCATGTCTCAGCTGAGTGTGTGTGGCTGTAAGGGAACTCGTTGGAAAGGAATATTCCATGGAAAACATTGTCAGATTAATAACCCCAGAAGTCCCCTTTAGGTTTGATTCTCTTTTGTCAGTGATCAGGGTTGCACAACGGTATTAAAAAAAAGAAATAAATGTAAAAGACTTTTTTCATTTATTCTCAAAGGCCAAATGGTGTACAACACAATGCACACTTTTTCTGTTTTGCCAGATGGTCATGAGAGATAGATTTGTTTTTTCTTTACTCGCCGAAGCTAAGATTAAATTAAATATTAAATTGATGTTGAATAAATTCCCTTGCATTTGATCTGACAAAAGGCTAAAAAGTGAATGCAATCTGACCCCCTTATCTGCTTTGTTTCACTCTCTGGTTCACTTTTGGCTTGCCCTCCATCAGGAGATACCACCGAGGAAGGGGTCTTAACCCCACCCCGCCAAAAGGACTTTCACCTCATTATCATCCAGAATGGGGCCCTGGCCCTTTCAATAGACAATGTGACATGGAGTGCATATGTGTTAGAGGTCACAATTAATTACCTGTCAGCTGTGTGGTGCTGGTACCATTGGATGACGCTCTCCATGTGTTTCTGTGTTTGCGAATCTCTTGAACCCTGCAGGAGTAGAAACCCTGGTCCATCCCTGCTGTCACATTGAGAATCTGCAACCGGTACAACTCTCCCTCCGTTTCCTCATACAGACGAAACTTTAGCTGGGGGAAACGACGGGTGTAGTTCCCGTACAGCTTCATTTTCTTCATGCCCGTCTTCACGATCAGAAACTGAGAGGCCTCGAGTGCAGGAGGAGAGGGGGAGGGAGGGGGCACGAGAGTGGGAGCAGCAAGAGGAGAAAAGAACCAGCGTAGGATGAGGACGCTGCCGCTCCTCTTTCTCTGAGACACCAGGCAGGAGAGTGTCACGTTGTCTTTCTCTGTTACCATGACAACAGGCCCAGGGGTCACCGTCACATTCAGGCCATGACACACCTCTGTTGAAAAAAAAAAGTTATATTTATATATTGTTTTGTTATAATTATATATGGTTTTGTTATAATTATATATGGTTTTATTATAATTATATATTGTTTTGTTATATTTATATATTGTTTTGTTATAATTATATAAAAATAATATATTTATTTATATTTCGTTTTTGCATACTCTATTGAATGTGTTGTTTTTTTGATATGTGTGCTTGTTGTATTGTGTATGGTAAATCATTTTTTGTGTTATGACCAAACCAAACTATAAAACAAGCTTTCCAAGCATAAGGAAACTCAGAATACTGTGATCTGGTAGCTTGTGTGACCCCTCCCTGCTAGTTAAATTAGTAATTAACTAGAGTTGCTAATGAGCCTCACAAGGGAAAAGTCTGACTTCATTTTTGCAAGATGTTTGATTTCCTGCCAATTAAACATAATTGTAGTATTTAGACGAAGTATGTTTATATGCACACCCACAGTGGCTGCTTGGATTTATAGTTTTCAGAGCTCTCACTATCACTGGTTTTACTTGTGACATTCCATCACTGGATGGGAATTCAGTCTGTAACAGCTAGAAAGTGTTGGAGGACTGAGAGTCGGAAAACTAAAACACACTTTGTGTGCCCCTTCACTTCCCTTGAGGTACTTTTATTCTACCGCCAGCTGGGTCAGGTCTGTCTAGAAGAGACATGAAGTCTGGACACAATATGTGTAAGCAGACAGGCAAAGAGAATCTACAGGTGGGAAACATTTGTCTTCAGTGGGGTACAGCACGAAAGAGGCAAAGAGAAACACTACAAGATAACAGGGACCATCTGGGCTGCCTTGCTGGGGTTTTTGTTTGTTTTTTTGTTTGTAGCTGTGTTGGTTGGGGAATCTCCCTAAGGGTACACTATGTAATGTGACAACAAAAGCAGCAAGAGGGACTCAAACCAAACACAAAACGTAACATAATGAAAAGATTATAAGGCAGGAGATATGAGTTGTAAATCCACTTAATGGCCGTTTATAGAATGAAAATTATACTGAGCTTTTCACTGATCACAGGAAACAAACTTGCTTAACTCCACAACTGGTTTGCTTTTAAACAAAGCCATATTCGGCCAGTTTGCAAAAGACCCTTCTGTTGTGTCAATATTGTTGCCAAAAATGTCATGACAATTATTGCACTTAAAACTTTTAGTTGTTGTAGAGACACAGACTATTAGGATGTGTCTTTTCTAATGTTTGACATTATTTTTATGCTACAAAGTCAACTCAAAATGTATGGTTGCACAGTGGTGCATACTAGATGATAGATTAAGTTACTACTTTAGACACATTCACTTACTTTCTGTCTTGCCTGCTTGCTCTCTTTCTTACTGGTTATTGCTGTAAACAAGGTAAACTTACCTATGACCAGAGCCTTAGTCAGGACAAGGACCACTATAGAGAAGTACATTTTCCACAATCAGCGAATCCATAAACCCAGACAACTGCACAGCCCTTACACAAGCAGCTACATTCAAAACAGAGCCTGACCGGACAACCCACCAGAGCCCTTACACACTATTAACTCTTCTCCTCTTTCTCCTCTTTTCTGTGTAATATGAAACAGTAAATGCTCTGTTCCCACTTAGAAACTCCCACTCACTCTCCCAGTACTCTCTCTCTCTCTCTCTCTCTCCCTCCCTCTCTCTCTTTCTCTGTGTGTCCTGCAAAACGTAGGAAATGTCATTTCCTGTGTTCCTGTGAAGTGTCTTGGACTGCTGCCCCAAACCTCAGAATTCTAAAGCGATTGGTCAAGTCTCGTGGTTTGTGTGCGTGCATGCGCCTGTCACATTGTGTGTCATTTTGTAAAACGTATACAGTAAAGCGCTGAACATGCTGCATTTCCGTCGCCCAAGTTAATGTCCATGCATGTGAGCTTTGTGTTTGTGTCTGCGTGCATGTGTTCCTCTGGATATGTGCGTGTGTGTGCTGGGACCTCTCCCTGTCTGGCTGCTGGACAGAGTGGCATGGGCTTGTCTCTGGCTGTGGTTGTCAGCCTGTCCCAGTGGTATGAAGCCTGCTGCTTTATTGGGCAGGCTAAACTGCTGAGGCAGGGCTTCTGCTGGCGCTTCGAGCTCTGCCAAAGCCAAATGGAATTACACAACAGATTTAACCCTTCAGGTTGTATTGTCTTATGAAGCATGGATTCTATGGAAAATGAACTGGCTGGGTTGATGAGGTGGTTTGATCTATTTTTGATCTTGACAAAATCTTTTGTTTTGAAAAAAACATTTTTATTTTATGTACAGCCAAGCTGTTGCCCAATAATTATCAATTGAGTAAAAATGCCAAAATGATAGTTAGATAAATATTTTGTCTTCTTAAAACTACCTCTTTTACTTGGGGTTTCCCTCAAGTTTTCCTTTCCATAAGTCTTAAGTTCAAGTCTTGCTCCAGTGGACGAGTCGCTCTTTTCTGCCCTACAGTGGTCAAAGCAGGTTACTGCTTCTCAGGGGATCAACAATATTTTGTATCTGGGGAGCGTAGGCAGGAATTCTCAACACAGCCGTGTACATTTAATCCGAGTTGGTGAATCAAGGCAAATCAAAGAAAAGACATTTTCATACGATTATTTCCTTCATTGGATCCCATAGGTATACTAGGCAAAGACACAAATGTCATTAACAAAATGTTATTTTCTCTTTTTGTGTTAGCTAACTCTCTAAGGAGATATTATTGTACTCTGTCAATAACACTTTGTAATTGCCTTATGCATTTTTTTTTAATGCACTAAAAAGACTCTCATTCAGACCCTGGGTACATTTCAAGAAAACAGGATGGCAGCGGTAGTAATATTATATTGTTATTACAGCCCTCTGACTAGTAAAATGAAATCAACATGTAGAAGCAATCTTTTATATTTCTTTTTTTTTTATTTATAACCTTTACAATGTGATTTTGAAAGACAGTCATTGTGGTGAGAAATGATTTGGTTGAATGAAGTGTGTTTTTATTGCCTGAATTAGTACACGTCACTCTACTGTTTCACAGCACCGCAGAAACATTCTCACAAACTTCCAACTTTAAAAATGGACTACTGTATGAAATTAAACCTTAAAAACAGCAATAATCACATCATCATCTTTTTACTTTGACACAGTGGTTGAATACACAAACTATTCTGTACACCATCTGGCGATATTTGATTGACGCTGTGGGTTTGACAATATTTCATGCATCACAAATTGGCAGAAGTAGGCTTTCTCCAGTGAGACAAAAATAATAAAAGCTCAAGCAAACCTGCCTATGTTCATAGAAGAAACCAATGTTTCTTCAAATTACTAAATACTATTGACACACTGTTGCTGTTTCATGTATGATAACATACTTCTAGGTTTAGGAGGCAACGGGATACTGATCATTCTGTCTACACAAGAAACACATCTTAGCTTCTCACATTCAAACGTCAAATGGAATGGTGAACTTCTCTGTAACACAATAAATAGCTCAACTGTGATTCTCCAAAATCAACAGCAGCAGTTTAACAGCATGTCATGGGGACTTTTTGAAAACTACAAACCTAAAACATACTGAGACTATTTTCACTTGAAAAAGTAATTTACAAATACTTAAATATCATCCCTCCGTTGCTTTGGGTATCCTTATTTGATCAAATACCTTATTTACTTAGCCCTTTAAAGTAAAAGCTTCCAGTGTTCTCACCAGTCGGACATCTCCATAAAGTCGTCCAGTTCACACATGGTTATTATATCTCGGGGCTGACATTGTGAGTGGGCTGAGTTATCATTTTCACAAATTGAGCTTCCTGCAAGCTGGCTGTTTGTGTCACTCTCTGGGAGCCACTCATTTGGTCCATGTGTGTTGTAAACTGTGTTATATGGTTTGTCTTTGTCATTAACTGTGTCCATGTATGGAGTCTTCTCTGGACTGTAGCGATGCCCTTCAGATTTCTGTCCCATTTCATGGGCTGGATATCCGTAGCCGTGGCTCTCCCCGACAGGCTGTTGGTCCTGGTGGAGAGTCAGTGGGGCTGATGACCCACAGGGCACAGAGGTGATAGTTTGAGGTTGGTAGTCTTGGGGATAACCATGGTTGCCTTGATAAAGCCCACAGGACTTGCTAGCTGGAGAGGCCTGGGGCTGCTGTTGAAGCTTGACTTGCATTTGGGGTTGGAGCTGAGGTTGTGGGTATGTCTGCTGGGGCTGGGTTCGGGCGGTGTTCTGGCCAGACTGGCGCACATTTAGCTGGACATACTTTCCTGTCTCTGGGTCAAAGAAAGTCTTAGTTTTCACTTGAACAGGCACGTCCACCACAAAATACTGACCAGAGCCGAGGTCCTGCAGCACCTTACGTTGCGTCAGTGGGTAGGAATGGGGGTAGCTTGACTCTACATGGTACTGTGCCACTGGAGCTTGGTGGTTGTCATGATGGTGAGTTGGAGAAGAGGGAACATGAGCAACTGTCTTAAGACCAGCAGTGTGGGAAGCAGGGCCAGTAGCTTTAGGCGAGGAATCAGGGAGGGAAATAAGGGCAGTAGCATGAGGTGAAGCAACTGGGAGGGAGATAGGACCAGTGGTATGAGGGGAAGCATAGAAAGAGCTGTGAGAAGATTGGTGCTCTGTGTGTGAAGACGGAAAGCTAGGCCCCAATGTTGGAGCATGAGCAAGGGAGACAGGTGAGGAAAAATGATGGGAAGTCAGAGCTTGGCAGCTGGTGGATCTTACCTCAATGGAGGAGGATGAAGGAATTCTGGAGACATCTTGAAGAGATTTCTTAACTCCAGCATGGCTGTTGGCTGGATTTTTGGACAACTCCTTTTTGATCCTCCGAGTAGTCAACCTTTGCGCTCTGCGCAAGGCTTTCTCACTCTTTTGGGGAACAGATGGAGGCTTGCCCAAATAACGAGAGACATCGCTGCTGAAACTACAGGCTGATTCTGGCCTCTCGTAGTCATACGGGCCTCGTATATCTGCCAGGTCTGCTGCACTGGTGGCAAAACTCTCCCCACCCTCTGACATATTGCTGATGACAGAGCGAGAGTCGTCTTCATCCAGGGCGATGCTCCTCCTGGAGTAAGGCTTATGTTGCAGGAGAGGGGCTGAGTAGTCCTGTGCTGACCTTGTGTCAGGATAGATAGGAGTTCCAGCAGTACGTCTCATTATCTCTTGCTCATCCTCTTCTCTCTCCGACCCCCTTTCCAGAGGTGAACCTACACGGAAATCTTCCCCAAAGTTCTTATGGAAGCGTGGTTTGACTGACTTGGTGAAAGAGGAACCTCTAATGGTGTTATCCTTCACCCTGAACATTAAGGGCTTGGCTCCCAGAGCAGGAGATGAGGTGTTGGAGCGGGGCAGAGATGGAGCTGGAGATGGAGGAGCATGTGACCTATGAGGCCTAGTGTGGGATCCTGAGTCCTCAATTGACCCAAGCCCTGATGGATTGTGTCTTTGTTGAGGAGGTAAAGGGGAGCATAGCTGTCTTTCTCTGGGTTTCCTCTCTGATTCTGTTGAGGTGATGGCATAGTACTGGAGAGCATCCATCCTCAGTGCTGCCCTTTTCTGCTCCTCCATCCGAGTGTCTCTCTCCTTTTGTCTTTGATTTGCTGACTTTAATTCTTCTTCTTCTCTCTTTTTAGCCCTGATCTCATCCTCTCTTTGAGCTAGCATCCATTCTTGTGCTTCTCTCTCCTCTTTCAGTGCTGCTTGGCTCTCCTCAAGGCGTCTGTTTCTCTCCTCTTTGGTTTGCTTTTCTTCTCTTTGTTTTATAATTGATTTCTCCTGTTCAACAGCTCTCTTTTCATCCTCCTCTCTCTGAGTTCTCATCGATTCTTCCTTTTTATGTATTTCTCTCCTCTGCTCTTCAATCTCCTGCTCCTGTTTGACCCTTTCCTCCTCTGAAATGTGAGCAGCTTTCTCCTCCTCTTCCTCTTCTCTCTGTTTTCTTTTATTTGTCTCCTCAATATCACCAAGTATCTTCTCCTCAATATGTTTAGCTCGCATTTGCTCCTCAATCAGAGCAGCTCTCCTCTGGTGCTCCTCTTGATCAGCTCTCCTCTGCTGCTCCTCTTGATCAGCTCTCTTTTGCTGCTCCTCTTCTGCAGCTCTCCTGTGCTGCTCCTCTTGATCAGCTCTTCTCTGCTGATCCTCTTTGGCAGCTCTCATCTGCTGATCCTCTTGTGCAGCTCTCCTCTGCTCCTCTTGTACAGCTCTCCTCTGCACCTCTTGATCAGCTCTCCTCTGCTGCACCTCTTGATCAGCTCTCCTCTGCTGCTCCTCTTGATCAGCTCTCCTCTGTTGCTCCTCTTGATCAGCTCTCCTCTGCTGCTCCTCTTGGACAGCTCTCCTCTGCTGCACCTCTTGATCAGCTCTCCTCTGCTGCTCCTCTTGATCAGCTCTCCTCTGTTGCTCCTCTTGTGCAGCTCTCCTCTGCTGCTCCTCTTGTGCAGCTCTCCTTTGTTGCTCCTCTTGTGCAGCTCTCCTCTGCTGCACCTCTTGATCAGCTCTCCTCTGCTGCTCCTCTTGTGCAGCTCTCCTCTGCTGCACCTCTTGATTAGCTCTCCTCTGCTGCTCCTCTTGATCAGCTCTCCTCTGCTGCACCTCTTGTGCAGCTCTCCTCTGCTGCTCCTCTTGATCAGCTCTCCTCTGCTGCTCCTCTTGATCAGCTCTCCTCTGCTGCTCCTCTTGATCAGCTCTCCTCTGCTGCTCTTCTTGATCAGCTCTCCTCTGCTGCTCCTCTTGATCAGCTCTCCTCTGCTGCTCTTCTTGATCAGCTCTCCTCTGCTGCACCTCTTGTGCAGCTTTCTCATCCTCTTGCAGTTTCACCCTCCTCCTCTCCTCATTCTCTTTCATCTGCTCTTCCTCCTCTCTCAATTTTTGTCTTCGCCCCCCCTCGATCTTAATTCTCCTCTTCTCCTCAATTTCTTTGATTCTTCTTTCTTCTTCTCTTTGCTGTGCTCTCATCTCCTCTTCTTTTTTAACAGCTTGTTTTTCTTCTGCTATTCTCTCTGCTTCTCTCTGTTTGTCCCGCCTCTCCTTGATCTTATTAGCAATGGCCTCCCGCTCCCATAGTCTCCTCTCTTCTTCTCTCTGAGCGGCTCTCCTCTCTTCTTCAGCCAGAGAAGCTCTATTCTCCTCTAGCAAATGTTTTACTCTCATGTCTTCTGCTCTTTTCTCCTCTTCTACCCTAGAAGCTTGTCTTTCCTCAAACTGTTTTGCTGTTCTCTGCTGCTGTGCCTTGGTTTCTTCATGTTGAGTTGAAAGCCTTTCTCGTCTCATTTTTTCTGTTCTCTCTTCCTCAACCTTAGCCAGTGCATTTTCAGTCCTCTCATCTTTTCTTGGAGTTGTTCTGCTTCCCACTGTGTTGTACACTTGGCCCACATGTTTTTCATGAGGAGTGGAGTTATCAAGTGGCTTTAGGTGTTGTGACACAGAAGTGCTTCTTGGCCTGTTCACTACAGAAGATGAGGTTGCTGCTTGAAAGGGAGGATTGTTTGGCTGATGAATACTTTGTTCTACTTGACGAACTCTTTGGGCATCCGTTCCAGACACTTGTTCTTCACTTCCCTGGTTCTTAAGAGGAGTTGTTGGTGACTTATTTTTTTCTTTGAGATGTTGTGCATGTTTTGCCCCTGTGTCTACAACACATCCATTGGCTTTGGCATCTAAAGGCATTTTCTCTTGTCTTTCTTTGTCTGCCAGTTTGAACATCCCTGTCCTTTGGTGTTCTTTCTCTGTTATGGGAAATACTAAGGGTTTGGCCTCTTTGTTCACTTTAGGGCTGACCTCTGTTTTATTTGGTAAACATTTATCTTTCACAGAGAGGTCTTGTGGGTCAGCAGTGAACACTGGACGTCTGCTATGACGACTTTGTATTAGCGGAAAGAATCCCTCCTTTTTGTTGGGTGGGAATTCCTGAATTGTGTTTTCCTCTTCTTCTGAAACAATTACTTTTAACCTGGCATAGTCTGCAAGTGCTGAAATATCAGGTATTGTGGATACCCTTTCTTTTGGTATTGGTTTAACTTCAGGTTTTTCTTTACCCATATTGTCTTTTGTTGCGTTTGAATTTGTTGTGCTCTGTCTTTCCCTTGCTGATAAACTGGACTGATTTTCTGTGTGATGTTTTCTGATATGACTAGCTTGACCTGCCTCTGTCTTCTCATTTGTATTACTCTGTCTCTCTGTTGTTTGTTTTGAAGCCGGGTTACCTTCTGTTTCTCTGTTTTTCCTTACAGAACTTGATTCCACTGTTTTTCTTTTACTTTGATCCAACATAAAGTCTTCATTTTTTCCTTCAGAGCAGGATTCATTGCCGATAGCTGCCTTGTTTGGTTGTAATCCTGGAAGTTCCTTTACCTTTGAAACAGCCTCTGATGTACCTCCAACATTTATACGATTGTGTGGTTCATTGTTTGTTTCTACTACCCCTTGCAGTTGAAAGTAGTCTCCCACCATTGGTTGTATCTTTGATTCGTCCATTGATTTTCCGCTTTTATTCAAATTTTCAGGCTTTGCATTTTCAGCTTGAGTAATCTCACTATTTACATTTACGTTGTTCTGTTGATTGCTGATTTGTAGTGAATCAGACGGTTTTCTCACACTGGACGACACACATTGAACTCCCAATGTGTCTTCCAAATTGTGTTTGATCTGCTTCTCAGTGCTTGCTGAAATAAGGTCTTTGGTTCCATCTTCATTGCTTAAAGAGTTCACTTTATCTTCAAGACCAGATGATGCAACTTGTTTTTGGTCATTGGCAGCAACTACATCACAGGGGACAGTGGTGCTATGATGTTTTCCCACCATCTTCAGGTTGTCCTTCTCAGTTTCTACTGGCACAACTCTGATGGCAATGTTGCCTATATGCACATTATCATCCATTTGATGCTTTCCTCCAATATGTGTCTCTTTGTACTGATGTTTTGGAAATACTTGTGTGTTTCCATGCTCAGTTAAATGGTTAGATGGACTGATTTTATTGAATGGCTTTGGTGTTGTTGAGTCACATCCCTTTTCTTCCACTAGGGGTGCACTCTTACCATCTATGTTCCTGCTTTTGGAGTGATTTCTGACCGTTGGCATGTCTTCTTTTACTGATGGCTGGTCGTCATGTTTTATCAGAGTTTCGGCATCAGCTCTGTTTGAATTATTTATGTAGCTGATTGCAGTATTAACCATAAAGTTCTCATTGGTATGTGCTGCTTGCCTTTTCTGTGTTTCTTTCTCTTCAGTATTACTCTTTACATCATCTTTCCTTATGCTCTTTGCTGAGTTTTCTTTTGACGTTTCATTTGTATAGTCTTTCCTTTCACTTGCTATTATGTCTTGTTTGTAGAGAAGGGGTTGAGTTTCAGCCAACACTTTATTTTTAGTAGGTACAGTGACTGAGGAGGGCACAGGTTTTTCAGCCAATGGTTCGTGGAGTTGTGATCTAGCATTAATAGAAGAATTCTCCAGGTGGTGATTAGTCCTTTTCACAGTGACGTTCTCAGACACATTGTTCTGTCTTGTCTCTAGGGTTAGATTTTCTTGCACATTTTTAAGATGTATAATCATATCAACTCTAGTTTGATCTTCCTTCACTGTAGGATGAGTGGTCTGAGCTGTACTAACTTCCTTTGAAGATGTATTTTCTATACTCACTTCCAGACCTGAGCTGGGATGACATTTATCTAGCTGTGAATTACTGCACTCTTCTATATTAATTTGTGCTTGAGTGCTCTGACCATTGTCCGTAGATGACTTTCTTTCCCGCACAGTTACCATTATTCCCGTAATCTGCAAGCTGTCATCAGCCACTGGGGTCTTGTTCTGACCAAAGACAATATTTAGTGAAGGTGCTGAGTCCTCATGAACTGCTTCATGTTTACTCTCAGCCTTTTCTGTCGTAATACATTCGGAGCTTTCTGCTTCGACCAGAGCAGCAGCTTGTGATGGATCTTCTTTCTTTTTGTTGAAATGGTCAGTGTTTACGGCAGGATTGTTGTTAACTCCCTCTTTCTGTTTTCCAGAGATTTCTCCTTGATTTGCTTCCTGGTTGAGTGCTTGCTCTTTACTTTGTATTGTTGACTTAATTTCAGATGGAATCTCTTTCTTTTGATTTTCTACCAAGCCCTCATCTGGGCTCATGGTATAACTTCCCATCTTTTTTTCTTCTCCAAGTGGTTTGGGCACATTGTCATTGCTCTTCATTGGTTCTTTGGGAACTTGTTTCAGTAACTGGTCTACTAGCTGACTGGTGGTTGCTGCAGACCTAACAGATATTGTAGCAGAGCTGGGAGGTAAAACAGACTTGACTGTTTCTATCTGTAATCCTGAAGGCTCCATCTGGTGCTTTGGTGTCATATTACTGGGCTTTGTGCTTTCATGCTTTTTAGGCACTTCCTGTGATGGTGGCCTCTGTCTTATATTATTACTCTGACTACCTGCTAATTGCTTTGTAGACTTTTTGGATATAAACCCATCTCGTACAGCAAAACCCTTTTCTTTTATAGCTGAAATCTCTTTTTCAGCATGAGCTTTTATCTTGGAAGTCAGAATCTCTTGCTTGGTCTGAGCTCTCTCTTTACTGGACAATGCACTGTCATTCTTCACTTTATCCCTAACAGTGTCACTATTTGCTCTTTTATCTACATTTTTAGGTAAATGATTTCCACCGGATAATTTCAACTCTTTGGATGACTGACTGTAAACATACTGGCTTTCTGTCAACTCAGTGGGTTTAAAGCTGCCTACTTCTTCCTTATTTTCTGCGTTAGCTGTCTCAACTTTGCTCGTAGGTCTAGAATTGTCTTTTGATTTCTCGTTATTTGTTGTCTCAACTTTATCAAGAGATACAGCTGTTGTTTCATTGGCATCATTTGAAGAAACATTCCTTGTTGCTGACACTGTGTTTCTGTTTGCAGAAGTTGTATCAATTAAACCATATTTCGCTCGAAGACGCTCATACTCATCAGACCCTCTATTAGCTTGATCTGATTGTTGCCCGCTGACAACAACTATTTCTTCCCTTCGTTGATACTTTTGAGTTGCCTGGTCTTGATCTTTGTTCTCTTCATTTTTATTCATATTTAATTTTAAAGGAAGATCTGTTTTAATGCCATCTTCCTTTCTACAAATTGTATTTTTGACTTTCTCTTTTTGCTCTCCTCTCATTTTCTCCTTTATTTTAGCCAATTCTGTTTTAGCTTTAACCAACTCTGTCTTAACTTGCTCAACTTTATCTGTCTCGCTTTTGATCTGTTGTGTAACTGTTCGTTTTGCTGCAGGTTTAGCCGACTTTTCTTGCATGCTCTCTGTTTTTGTTAGCTCTGCTTTAACTAGCTCTGCTTTGGGTTGTTCCAACTTTGCCTGTTCTGCCTTTTTCTCTTTGGCTTTAATTATCTGTGTTGTAGGTTGGTCTGCATTTAATTGACTCGCTTGAACATTATCTTCCTCAGCTTTCTCATGTTTAACATCGTCAACTAGAATGTGGTTTGCCTTGACCTTTTCCACTTCAACTACCTTAGTCTTTTCTTGTTCTGCTTTATTTTGTTGCTCTTGTATCTGCACTAGTTTTACTTCTTCTACTAATTTTGCCTGCCCAGCCTGTTCTGTCTTTGCCAATTCAGTTTTTATGTGCTCTTCTTTTAGCCTCTCAGCTTCAGCTTGTTTTACTTTGAACTGCTCACCACGCTCTTCTCTCAAGTGCTCGGCATTTACTTCCTCTGTAATATTTCTAGGCTCCTCTGTTAGTTCTGCTTTGGCCTGGTCTTCTTTGACTTTCTCTGAACCAGTCTGCCCTGCTAAAATTAACCTAGCCGACTCTGCTTTGGGCTGCTCCACTTGAGCCCAGTGCTGAGTCTTTGCCAGCTCTGCTTGGGCGTGTTGTGCCTTTATATGCTCTGCCATGGCCTGTTCAGTCCTGACCTCAGCAAACTGTCTGTCTTTGATCTGGTTTGCCATTATGGGGGCCGAGGCATTGTCAGGGTTTGATAAAGATTTTTTCTGCACATTATTTTCAAGCTGTGGTTTAGCTTCTATTGGCTGAAGACTTTGCATTTCATACACCTTTGGAATCGGCGTATTTTGTTTTTTCTGACGTGTGTCTTGCGAGAGCATACTTTTGTCTTCATTACAATACAATATGTGTTGGTTTCTGTATTCTTGATCAGTATATCTGTTATACTTCTGTGTCAAATAATTATCCTTCAATTCATCTTCCTTAATGTGTCCATTATACTTCAGAAGTAGATATTTGTCCTTTAAAGTTCCTGGTTGCTGTTGTCCATAATATGCTGGTTTTTCAGCAGTATCATTACTAAATGGTGCATTTTGTGGCAGTTGGTTTGAAATGTTAGTATTGACCAACTCAGCCTTTTTATGAGAATTTGTACCAACACCAAAACTCTCCCTAAACTCTATTTTCTCAAGTTCTTTATTTATACTTTGCCGATTTTCTCCTCTGTATTTGTTACTTGGTGATTTTGCTTCCTCCTTTATCGCGTCTGCTCTTTGGTAAGCCTGTGCATGTTGGTCTTTTTCCATTAAAGCGGTTATCTCTTGTTTCCATGGAGAGACGGCTTTCAGACTGAGATTTTCTGTGTCTTGGCAGATAGTTTGTCTCCACCTATCCTGTGAGGACACATTACTGTAATCTTGTTTGTTTTCTTTGAGCTGCTGACATCTATCCACCTTTGTGAAGTCCCTTCCCACTGTTTCATTAAAATGTTGTTCAGCATTTGCCTTACTTATTAAATATGCTCTTGGTTGATTGCTGTCAGCATTTAGCATTGGTATTTCTGTAGCTGTATAAGATGGTTTAAACCTGTATAGGTCTCCTCCCAGAGTTTCTACATTATCAATCATGGCTTGCTTATAGGGAGTAAATGACGATAAGTCTTCATGGAGATTCTGTCCATTAGCGGGACGATAACTGGCATAATTTTCAGGTATTAAGCCAGTGAATCCAGAGGGATTAACCATATCACTTTGCATCTGAGCTCTCTGGTAATCACTTGATGTGTATTCTGAATATAGGCCTGTATGTGCAGGTTGAGAATTTGGTGTTGTAAACAATCCAGGGCTATAATACTGGTTTACGTATTGCGTTGAGGCAGCATTTGTCGTGCTGGAACCCTCTACCTGGAGTAGTTGAAAGTCTGGATCCGGAAAATCAGGGATGTCTATCACAGTGTCTCTAGGCTCCTGGGTAGAGTACTGTTTGTTTTTCTCCATTGTCTCCAATCCTTTAAATTTGGTTGGACTGTAGGTGCTTTTTACTCTTTTCCGGTTGTCTTTGAGATTAAAGAGTAGGCCCGTGGCCCTGGATTTGTAGCTGGACATCCTAACATCAGGAGTTGCTCCCCTGCTTTCTGCTTGCACTGGAGGATGCTCCATAGGTTGAGGGGAAACTGCAGACTGCCGGACCTCTGGCGTCTCTGCTTCATGATGTGCATTGACTAAAGGTGTGAGCAACTGGCTGATGTTGAAGGGAGTCGTGCTTGTGCTACTACTGACAGCATTTGGTTCCACTATTATTGCATTGTTGCTCAAATGATTTAAATTATTGCTGCTACAATGCACTCCTTGTTGATTTGCTGTTATCCCTGTTGTGATATTTTGCTCTGTCATCATTTTGATTTTTTGCTGAAGGGCTTTGACGGAGCTGATGGTGTCCTGAACACGTCGAGCCATCTCGCTGGTAGGTGATGCAGTTGATGACCGTTGCATCGGGAACCTTTTAGTTCCCAGGCTCTGCATCCACGTCCTGTGGGGGTAATGACCCGTCAAGTCTGACTCACAGCGTTTCTCCACAGCTGAAGCTTTCTGCATTATTGTGGATGCTGAGGTGGAGCGTGGAAGACTGGGAGGAACCACAGGCGCCAAGGTATTCCTTGGGTGTCTGACACCTCTCTCATCAAAACGATAAGGACCCTGTGGTTGGGCATCCAGTGAAAGCTCCCTGTACATTGGTGTCTCATACCATTTAGGGAACTCTGAACAGTGCATAAACCCTGAGACTTCAGCTTGTTGGAAGGGAAACCTGTTATGGTCCCTCCATACCTTGAAGGGACTAAACTCACTGTGTATAAAGAAGTTAGAGTTACAGTCGAACTGCTCGGACATGCTGTGTGTACTGTGGGAAGATCTCATAAAAGAGGATGCAGAATTCATGTGAGCCGCTGCTGCTACTTCAGAGGAGTAGAAGTTGGTGTCCGGGGATGAGAATGGGCCAGCTGAGGGGAAATGACCACTGTTAAAGTTTTGCTGGTAAGACGTAGATAACTCAGAAATTTCCCTTTGGATACTCATCAGAGCTGATTTGTCCCAGCTTGTCTCATCATTCCACTCTCTGACTTTACCATCCATCCCTGCTCCATCCCGTCCCTCAGAGTTAAAAGCTCTGATCAGAGAAGAAACTCTGGAGCGGCTTCTGCGTTGCTGCGTACTCAACTCTGTGGCTCCGTTGCTGAGGAAGGAAGACTGTTCTTCCCCCAGAGGCTCTTCATGTTGAGAGTTTTCCACAAAGGAGTGCTGGAATGTGGCAGAAACCCTCCCTTGTGTCCTTTCCCCATCAACCTCCCACTGTGGATCTCTCTGAATCTCAGCCTCATATATTCTGCCATGGATCCTGTCCTGTCCATACTGCTGCATCCTGAGGCTGAAGCTTTCATGTGCAGGTCTTTTAAGTTCCTCCCTCTCTTTGTCCTCTCCGTCTCTGTTCTGGCCACTCTGACTAAAGGCCAGCTGTCTGTCTCTCTGGGTGCAGGGAGAAGACGGACAGAGGTCTGAGTCATTATAAACCGCCTCATCTCCAATGCAGAGACTCCTGAATGCTCGATCTGTCAGGTTGCTGACCTCACGGTCAGTCTCATCCGGATAGGACCCGCTACTTGAGGTGTCGCTGTAGCCTCCATCGCTGTGCTTACGATGACCGCCACTCTTTCGGCCTGAGCGGCGCTTCTTAACTGAAGTCATAATGCAGGGTCGTAGGCGAGGAGCTCTGTCCTCATTTGTTCAGTCATTCATGCAAACACAGACCTCAAAATGATACACCCTGCCTGCTGCCGGAGCTACAGGACCCAGAGTTTGGGGCCCTCAGTCAGGATTTTCGACAGCTGGTAGCTCCTAAGGCATTGTGCCTTTTAGTTGGCCTTCATCCAAAACAATAAGGAATTTGTTCTTTACCTAAAAGAGAAAAGAAAGGAAAATTAGCCGTGACCTGAACATTAACTGAAATCACAATTTGTCTAAAACAACCATGTATTATTATATTTAGACTTCTATAATGGTGTTTGCATGATATGTGTGATGCATTTCAACCTTGATTAAAAGCTTGAGATATAGACAATATTTTCTTTTACGTGAGAACATTTTAAAAGTCGTTTGTTGTGGTGCTTATTTTATGATAGCTGGCCTTGATAAGAAGCTTTTTTTCCTTTGTATTAAGCAGCAATGTACTGTATGTGGTTCTCAAAACAGCCCTGTAAATCCTTCTACTCAATCGCTATGACCTTCAGAGACATGTTGTGGATAAAACTACACTGTTGCTAGGCACAGTAAAGACAGCCTCACGTGAGTTATTTTGGGAAAGCAGGACACATCCGCACAAACTTAGATGGGCGTACACATACAGACGCACACGTTTCTTTTGTACGTGATTTTGACCACTTTTGGATTAAAAGCAAGATATGATGTTGGTTTTACAATAATCCGAGGTTGGGACTAACTGAAGAGGTTTTATAAATTAGACCATCCAGTTAGACTACCACGAAGCTGTTTCTTTTTGAGTGTAAGAGTCAACAAATGGGTTCGGAGCGGTCAACTGTAAGATTACATTATAATCTTGGAGTGAAACCCCTTTGGTTTTACAACAGTATGGAGAGCAGGTTAGAATATCCTTACATAGAAGGGCTGCTAATTTTAAGGTACATAATCTGTCATCCAAAATGTTTTAATGTGAAACATTGTTTGTTTATTAATTAATAAAATAAGTGTGTTGTTCTGATCTGTAAATCTGAAACAGCCAAGGCCATGGGTGCGTGCTGTCACCTATTTGTATGTGTTGATGCAAGTGCTTTTCCTAGCCGACACCTTGCCAGTTAGCTAGCTGGTATGCATTGCTTGTGGAGGGCCTTCAAAACTGTACTTATAATAAACTGGATTTAAAATCTGAAAATTATATGATACAGAACATACTTAAAAAAATAAGCTCAGTGATAAGATCATTTCTTTCTTCCACACGGGGGCCTTCTCATAGCCTTCTTATTGCATATTCCCTTTGTTGCACTGTGGTTTTTGAATAAAATGTTTGCACATTTAGATGCAACAAGGTAACGTCATGGGTATGTTCTAGTTAAATTTACTGCAGCTGGCAGGCAGCCGTCACCTTGCTCAGAATATCCAGTAGTTCATTAATATCTTCTGACCTGGAGTTCATCTATCTTATATGCATCTACAAAACAGCTTCAGTGCTGCTGTACTGTCCGGCTAAGTCTTTATCAAATAATACTGATGCAGAAATTAAAGGAAATTTAAAGATGTTATGCAACACCTTTCTCCAGAAGCATAAAACAACAGCAACTTATAGGCAAGGGCATGGTTTGTTATAGTCACTTTAAGCATCTTCTTTCAATTCATGGAAAGCATTGACAAAACATTGAGGACACAAAGACTCTGACTGTTAATTAACATGTCTGTCTATTTCTACCCAAAAAAACAAATTCTGTTCAGTGGAGAAAGAAGAATCTGCAAACATCAGAAAGTAGCATTAAAAAAATCATGCACAGTTATGTTAACTGTCCCTAATTTGAGCCTTTTTTGCAACAATGAGGTCATGTCAAACTGTCAGGGTGATTTCTGGTAATTCTTGCATGTGGCAGGTTTATTTCTGTCCAGTGACGGGCCTCCAACTCTAAAACCTAACACCAAAGAGGCCTCATTCTCAGAAGGACTGTAGTCCAAACGAAGACTGAGCAGCAGCAAATCTGTCAAATCTGAAAGGATATAACTAAATGTTAGCAGTCAGTGGAATCAAATTAAATTCAGTCAGTCAATGCCTTTAGTAAGTGAATGTGAATTATTTAGGAGATTTAAGCAGGGATTTTTTTTCATGTGTTAATTTATTTATCTGCTTGAAAACTCACTGAAGATGACAATGCATGCATGTGTGGAAGGTTGAGTATATCTATTGTTTTACCTTTTCTCAGAATTCTATATATATTATTTCTAAGTGTCCCTCCTTCAACATGAAAAAGAACATAGAGTGAGCTCTTGTCTTACCTTCCAGTTTTATAGTCCATAATTTGTGCCCTATTGTAAACTCCTCAAAAGGCTCGATGATCTGATCCTCTCACCTCACACAAGCCCTTTCTGGCAGCACTGTCTATCTATTAACAACAATCCAAAGCAAAAACCTCTATGTAGTCGACACTCAGGTCTCTGAGCATCTGACCATGGAGGCAGGCAGCGGGACCCGGGGCTGGAAACCAGACAGAAATAGCGAAGTTGTCCCAGAGAGAGTGTCCACCATGGGGGGACAGAATGAGGGCTTGAGCTAGCATGCGGATCTGTGAGATCCTTTGGTGTCGAGTGTCAGACGGATGAAACAAACAGCTTCTCAACTATTTATAAATCTGGACAGCTAACTGTTGGCTATTTGCAGCTAGTGCTAACCATCACAAGTTGGAAAGTGTTAGCTGAGGAGGTTGTGGGGTCTAAAGATGGGGGAGAAAAAAACGTTTTTTGTGTGTTATTGAGGGTGTTGGTGGGTGGGGTTTCAGGGGGACTGCAGTTTGACTGCTCCTCTGGTAGATAAAAATAACTAATTTGCTTCACACTTGAGAGCCACCTTCTTCGTTGAACAGAACTGACAAGTGCTATGTGGAGTGTTAACAAGTGGCTCCTGATCACCACCCACCTGCTATCATCATTACAGGCTTGAGAAAGCTTCCTGTTGATTACATGACACAGCAGATCTTTCTGAGAGGTTCATTTCAACATGAATTTAACACTCCCTTATTATAGTTCTATGGAATACTTATATAATCTCCCTGGCTACAGCCTCACTTACCCCTAGGAGAAAAGGCCATAAGGCAGAGGAAGGGGAGGAACTGTACCCCCCACCCCACACACACACACACACACCCTTACCACCCCGCCCCTCCTACAACCCACTGCTATAATAGGAGATTGCTGGAGCAGATAGTTTCCTGGGGGATTCTGGGCGGGTGCAGGGCCGGCCTGGCAGTATGATGGACACACACACATGGGCCTTAGTGGAGTTGCACTCCTCCATGTACACCCACACCAACACACTAACACGCACAGATGGTTTTGCATACAGCTCACTAAATTGAAAGGCTGAGGTAATCCCTTTTTAACTAATCTCTTTCCTCCCCTTTAAACAACCTTCACCTCTATCGAGACGTATCTCATCCACTGTATGTTCTCCAGGCTGGAGTCTTGTCAATCAATACATCCAAACTGAATTTTTTTGTTATGACTTTTTTCGACATGCTATACTATGACATTTTTTGGCATATACTATGACTTTTAATGACTTTTTTTACATACTATACAATAACTTTTTTCGACAAACCATACTATGACTTTTTCAGGACTTGTTTTGACATACTGTATTATGATTTTTTGACTTACTATACCATGACTATTTTGACAAGCTTTTTTCGACAGACTATACTCTACCTTTTTTTTTTACTTTTTTTGACATCCTATACTATGACAATTTTTGACACATTATACTTTTTTAATGTTTGTTGGTTGCTGTAGGTGAAAGTGCGTCAACAATTCTGTGAACATCTTAGACATTTATCTGTAAATTTTATACACATTGCGAAAAATAGAGAACCCAGCGGGTAGATAGTCATCCAGCCACAAACCAGAAGCTGAAGTCACACCTGAGTGAGGCAGCACAGAAGGCTCGCCCCCCTGGCTTCATGATTGGATGGTCAGATGCTGTGTTAATCTGAGCATTCCCATTGGCTATTCGGGAGGAAGCATCCAAATAGGGTAAAAAATACTTGTTCCAGGTATAAAGAAAGAAGCCTTGTAATCATAAGTTTGATTTGTGCTCATATATTTGATTCGTATTTGTAAACTTAGGAGTCACATATACAGTTGAGTTCAGTACAATTGTTATTCTTGCATATATTTTTCATTTGTCCACAAAGTGTCCTGACCCCATTTGATTCCATAGATTTCCTCCATGGAGATGAGAAAATCAGCTTCAGAGATCTGAAACATCCTCATCCAGAATTTGTATCTTGTTGCTATATCATCTTTTGCTTACGTTTGGAAGTAAAACGCTCAGCGCTTGTTAAAAAAGGGTTTTGATTAATAAAATAAAATTGACAAAAACGTCCCTCAGCAAATATTGTGCATAATATGTGTGTTTATCCAAGGTTTGACATGCAGGCTGTTTCCTGCTCTCTAAGTCCCTCTAGTGGACAATCTAAGAACAAGCGTCGAATCCCATTTGGTCTGTAATGTTTTAAAACATATCTATGTTTTTGCACAGTGCAACTCTCCAACTTTGCTTCAACATAGTTGTATTACGAAGCTACTGAGGACTGTTAGCATTGATCACAAATGCTGAGGATGCTCTTCCCTGTGCTGAGTAAGGAGGAGCGGAGCTGTGGTTTTGTGGCAGACAGCAGAGTGGCACATTACTTGCTGCATTAAGATATGCTTTGTTTGTATTATCTCCATTCTGAAATGAGCTTAATTGATTCTAATTTATTGGGTTATTGATCGGATTTGTTGCAGGAATGAAAAGCAAAGATGATACTCTAGTGGGGTGTTTTTTGGCCCTTCAGTTGACCGGCCCTGAATGCACTTTATGTCTGATTTTGTCGGCTGGGTCCTTGAATCGTAAAAATGTAGGTGTCAAGCAAAAGAATTGTATGTGTGTGTGCCAGTCTTTCTTGAGCATACGGTCTCTCTCTGTGTGCCTTATATTGTCTGTGGATGAGTGCATGTGCACAACGTGTCCCTGTTTCAGGACATATTTCCCCACATCCCTGCAAAAATATTTCATTACTGCAACAAAAGAAGCCCATTAACTGTACTGTAAGAACAGAGTTCAACTGCTGTCCCCCATATTCACCATGTTTGTCTGCTTTTCTGGCCGCTCTCCAGCTAATTTGATATAACAATGCTCGACAAAACCGCCTTGCCACTTTTTTTTAGGTGACAGAAAATTATCAATGATGCCACATGCACAGCTGAATGTCAACACCAACTTGACTTGTTTATGAAATATTAAAGCAGTGAATTATGGGCACCATGCAGAACTTAATGATGATCGGAGTCATTATAACTTCAGCATCCTTTGTTTTGGCTAATGATTAAATTCCACAACTACTGTATTCAATTTTAGAGATATAATGTGTTTTTCACGTCTTTTGTATGAGTTGGCTGGATTCTGTCGTCCACATTGGTACATTTTTGGAAAAAGAGATGATTTGTATAAGGATATTGTGTTATCATTAGCTGCCATGTCAGGGGGCTTAACATCTTTGCTCTGGAGCTGTCTTAAAGCAAAATCATTTTATTAGGAGATGATGTTTTTGTTAATATTATTTGTGGCATGAATAGATACAACAGAGTAACTACTATAAAATATTATAATACCAAATGTATTACAATAGGCCATAATTCGGTAGATTCTGATTTCGAAACTTTATTTTAACTGGATTTTGACATTTCTGTATCAAAAGTGGCAATTTATTTGTACGGCAGATTTTTTGAAAGAACACATGGTGTCCCAATGACGTAAAAATCTAAATCTAAAAAGTGTTAATGTCACAAGAAGGTGACTCATAGTCAGTGAAAGCATCATTTTATTGTAATAGTTGTAGGGTACTTGGGGTACAACATGCACACATAATGGTGTAAAAAAAAAGAGGATGTAAGTCCTCCGTACTCTGTTTACAACCTGGCACGACTTCTGACATTATCTCCCTCTTCTGTGTCACCAGGGTGTCGCCTCATCAATTATTGAACCAGTACTTCATGGTAATACATAATTTCTTATCAATTATTCATGATAATGTGTGTGTAGTTTACTTAATTGTGTTATTGACTATCAAAAGTAATTTCCTGAAAATCCTCAAGGACGTAAATTGAATCAGCCCAACTACTGGTAGTGTGCTCTGCGGTTAAGTATTCTCAATCTGATCAGCTGATCCTTTATTCAACGGTCATCCTAGTGAGGAGAGATATTTAGGAATAATACATCAACAAATGTATTGCCTTTGATAAACTCCCGTGTGAAGAGCCCTGAGGTGATGAGAGATGATATTTTTGAATATGTAAATTCAACATTAATAAATAGCATATATCATGTTTAATGAGGTTTATTAAAAAATGCTCAGAGAGCGGAGGAGAAAGAGGAAGAGAGTGAGCTTTCCTAAAAGTAAATAAATAATAAGCGCCACGATTGCTCTCCTCTCTCCCGGCTTTAAGGGAAACTGATAAATAATGTATCAGAACAGATGGCTGGAGCGCGAGGCAACAGGAGAGGAACATGAGCGACTACATCTTTAATTGTTTTAAAGAACATGTCACAACAGGACCGGTGTGGTTCCTGTCTGCTGGCACTACAGATGTGCTAACAGAGTGGACGGGACAACCACCGCTCCGTCTGTCTATATGTACACATTTACACTAAAAATGGCTGATTAATATTAAAGTGCACTTTCACTTTAAAATCAAAAGAATGAGAGATTGTTTGAGCCCATTAATGACCTGATGGCATAAACATTATATTGCCAAAAAATCCTCACTGTCCTGCCATCAGTTCTACATTTACAGTTTACATGCATTAACATTAACAATGTAAGCATCTGTCCTCTTCATGAAAACAAGAGGAACTCTATCAGGAATTACTTAAATTCACATTATCAAATAGGATTTTGTTGCACACATGTTGTATCTATCTTAGTCCATCAAGTAGAGTCCAAGAGTTCGCGAAGACAAACATAGATCCAAAACCACACTTGTGCTTCTATGGGGACAACAAGGCCCCAAATATTCAGCATTTCTCACAAACAATAATAATTTACTGTCAAATAAATATTTAAATGTTTGCATCCATACATTGTGATATCAATAAAGTATTTCCCAGGCAGGTTTGTGGAGTCAGTCAGTAGTTGTGCTTAGTTGCTCATAGGACCAGCGTAGAGTAGTGTAGTAATAACAGGCACGATCACACAGATTTAGAGTATCAGTACATCCATGTTTATGTCCAGCGCTTCACTTTTTCTCCAGTGGTTCCTTGGAGCAGTGAGGGTGTTTGTCAGGACTGCTGCCCAGGACTGGGATCTTGGTGGCCGGGCTGGGACTGGAGCTGTCTCCCCCTCTTCCCACACTGACGGGCATCTCCATGGCAGGACCCGCCGTGGGCCTCGCCATCCCGGCTGTGCCCATGCCGACTCCAGACAGGACTCCCA